TACCTACATGCGGGATATATAAACATCCGTGCGCGACGGTGCTTAATCGATCGGGGCTTAATGACTACAATACGTTTCAGCCGGTGCGGGATAGCATAACCTGCTGGTCGTAAATTGAAGAGCCAACGTCGTACGTTAGACCGACGATGCGTACTACTCTTCCTCCCGCAGCGAAAGATCCGGCAAACGATTATTAATAGTGCTGACGATGAAAACGCGTCGTTTCTGCGCGGACGATCCGCCAATAAATTTAGGAGAACGCGGAATCTCGACAAACAAGAGTTTTGACTCCCTTGTCGCGTAAAAATCGATTTACACGAGAAAGATTGGTTTCGTGACGTTAATCTTATTGTAATATATAATATAAAATATAATTCGAATAAGTATCCAGAAACAACAACTTGATTTATACTAATAATGTTTTACTACTGATAGACGCATACGCGAATAACGCTATTTTAAATACATCTCGTTAAAAAACATAACAAATTCGCCGCACGTCCGATCAATTTAATCAGAAGCGATATTGCATTTATGCAATGGTTTATATAAAACGTGTCGCATCTACGTTTGATATTCTAGCAAAGCATTATCCCTTTATTCCCCGTCCCCCATTTATTCCAGCACGTAGCCATTGATCGATATTACGAAGTGTTCATCCAGCACGAGATGCTTCACGGACCTTGTATCACGTTAAAGGGCGCATTTAATTAGCACGTACAGTGTCCTTCAATGTGTCAAAGCCTACCGCGCCTATTTGATCACACATTTGTGGTGTCCACAACAGGTGTGAAACGTATCGATTAACAAATTGCTTGTAGCGAGCGGATCATCAGAGCTTTAATGGTGGCGTTAACATTTTAGCTAATTTCAGGGAATGTTTAAATGTAAAACCCAGCAATTTTACGTGATTCAATTTACCTTGCAGTAAAACGGGAATATAATATTACGTGATATTGGACGCAACGATTTCGCTCTGACATTCTTTTCGCGCCTTCCCTGCAAAAACCGCGAATTTTGCAAGAGTTTACGTTCGCGAGTTACAATCTTATTTAAGAACATCACTCCGCGACTCGAAGCAAAGCAGGGAAAATTGAATCGCGTGCGCGAGAAAGCTCGGCGAACGGAAAAGATGAGAACTTATCTACGATGAAGCACGGCATTGCGGCACTTTGTCGACACATACTGGGTCTCGCGCGCTTTTCCCTTCCCGACAGATGCTCAGAGAGTACTAGGCGCCATGGAATGTCAGTCTCGAAAGAGACAAGACAAACAGGAGGACAAGAGAGTTGCCTACTGACAAAGCCGTCAGACGTCGGTATGGACTATGTACACGATTCGATCGCAGACCGGTTTGACGTACCGTTGGAACCCATCGGAGGTAGAATTTCATCCTAGATACGTGTCGTTTCCAGTTTTTACCGATTGCCAGGTATGATGTCACGTCGCACGCGCAAGCAGAAAGAACGTTAGAAATGACGAATGAACTCGAGAAGTTCTTTATCGGACACTCGTGCTCCGACACCGATAACTTTCGCGCGTAAATTCATGCGGTTTTTAAGCGCAAATTTTTAGTCACGACTCGAGAGACTCTTTATCGTTTGTTGTAATAATTCGAAACGCATCTTCACTCACTCGCGGTTTATCTTATTATTAAAATCAGCTCGATTTAATTAATGAACGAAGTCTATTAAGTGCTCTTTTCGAATGTAAAAATAAAAAAAATCTTAGAACTTGTCTGATGATGAAATACTAAAACCAATAAAACAAACATTTAAAATAGTACGCTCTACGTTGTTCATAAGCAAAAAATGTACGGTAGAACGATTGCACGTGTTAAGAGCAAATAGAAAGAAATTTCATCTTCCTTCATAAACTCAAAGAAAAAAAATGTAATACACTCTTGCGGCACACTCAGCATACAATTTTTCCTTGACAACTGTTAAACATAAATGTAAAGTGTTCAGCGACATCGTAACGTTAACAACATCTCGGACAAGAATCAATAAATAAATTAAGCTCTAAAAATAATAAATCGTGATAAGAATAGTTATCTTTGTAATTTCTTCCGTTGCGTCGCCCATTCGAGATTGAAATATTTATACATTTCTTAGCAAATTTAAAATTTTTTATTTTTAAATAATCACGTTTTACTATTGTGAAACTTAATTATACTTTTATTAGTTCGTGGTTTTTACGAGTAGAAATGCATTCGAATTTATTGAGTAATCAAAACCCGGCACTGCTAAATATTCTCGCTCAACTTTCGTGAAGCAATATGAGAGAATTCAGGGCTAGGATAATAATATTATTTCTAATAGCTTACGAGGGTTTGGCATGCTATCAGGTAATGGATACACTTCCATAAAACGCGACTGAGACGCTGCTGTCTTTTATTCTAGTAAACGAAATTCCAAAGGCTAAAAGGAGAGAGCAATTGGGAAAAACGACGTCTGCATCGCGATTTTAATTGGCCGCGGCGATAAACGTAGCACTTGGCAAAGTAGGTAATAACGATTAAAAGTCTAATCGGCTGAAAACTTGTTAACTTTCACAAAATTGCTGGCATGGGATTCCATCTCACGTTGAGTGTTAGCTCGCATAATAAAAGAGCTCAGAAACCGGAGAGGAAAGAAGGAATATGTTCTAAGACTGTGAGAACTCAATTGAAGTCAATCGACCGTAGTCTAATATAGCGATTTGCCAGAGAAAGTATTAATTATTTCTTCTAATTTTGTATAAACATATGATTTTATATCTCTATCATAAGCGTAAGGTCAAAATATTTCTATATATATATATATTATTATGATAGAAAAATCTAAAAGTATGTGATAGAACAGTATTTACATTAGAGATCACAATAATGAATTGTAATATCTAGCACGCCGTGCAAATTCTCTTTCCGCAAGAATTTTCCATTTGTATGAATTCAAATATTACTATGATCTCTTTCTGACGATTCGCACCAAGCATCCTCGAACGTGATATCCCGAAATTCAAGAACATAATCTGAATCCCGGGAGCACAATTTGAGATGCGGCAGCTCGTGTTCACTATAACGCGCGAGGAAGAATGGGGACGCCGGAGTTTCTCGCGCTGGAATAAGATGCTCGCACTTAGCATCTTATGCCGTCGTTCCTCCGGCCTGAGAGAGCGAGAGTCATGGGAGATGTATAGGATGCACGACGGGAGACGCGTGAGAGGTCGAGGTTTTAGCGAACATCTGCCAGACAGGCTGATATCCAGCCGACGATAAGACCTCGAAATGCAACTGTGCCTGAGACGGCTAGTATAACCACGCCGGAATTCATTAGTTAACCCCGCAACTCAGCATTTTCAGAGACTCATTTCGTAGCGCAACCTTGCGCGCCACGTATACACGAAATTGCACTGCTGAAGAATTCAGGAAAACACGGAGTGGCTATGTGTACCAGCTGACGAGTGAAAGAAGCGTGTTTCTAAGGATGCAATGAAAGCGCACGATTCGCTATGTGCAAAGATTAAGCAATATCAACGCGAAAGGTTAACGCTACGCGACGATCGACATTCGTAAATCTACAGTCTCATATGCGAGATATCATCAAACGTGTAATCAAACGTGTAAAAAAAATTTCTAATGAAACAAATCAACATGTTTGCTACCAAACTTATATCAATGATTATAAATAACATTATCTAATCAAGAGGTATATTTATATTTATATTTGTAATTGTGTATGTGTGTGTTATCATAATTATGTACTTACTTTGATAATGAAAGGTCTATCAATTCAATTAGATATATACCGACTATCCGTGCTTAACTACACGTGCTACTAAATGAAAGTTAACTCGTACACTTCACTTTCAAAAAATATAAATTTACATTGTGAATTTGCGAGAAAAACACAAACACGAGATAAAAATTTATTTTGTGCTATAACTACGAGTTATAAATTAAGGACAATGTAATTCAGATAAAACTATAAAAGTTATGCAATGACAAAAGTTATAATATACCGATTTTCAGTTTCTCTTTGCAAAACATATTGTATTTAAAAAGACCTCAATTTAAAGTACCGAACAACAAAAAACCGCTCGATGAAATGTGTATCATAAAAGCAAATCGATTGCTGTATAAGCAATAGTATTCATAATTATAGCTTTTTTATTGCATCGATAAATTACGCTTCTGAAACAGCATTTTGACAATCCACTCTTTTATAAAAACATCAAATAATTAAATTGATTAATAAAATTAGATAAGAATGTATTTAAGTAAACAAAAATTATATTAAATATCATATTTTTTAAATTTAAATTTAAAACTTAAATTTTCAATTTAAATTTTAAATTTCAATTTTCAGAATTTTAGTTTTTAACTCAATTTTTCATATTTTATATTTCTAAAATTTTCTTTTCTACATATAAGTTTGTATAATTAAAATTTTTTAAGTTTTAATAATTTTATTAAGGCTCTTAACTTGTGCTCTTCATTGTTAAAATAGAATGTAAAAAGTAATATATTTTTTATTTAAATATTTTAAAAAATTAAATTGCAAACAAAGATGTGATTGTCGAAGCGCGTTTCTAAGCAATTATATGGTAAATATTGACAAGCAGAAAAGATATAATATCAATGTTTTACTTGCAATTATGCAAGTATAATGGATAAGTACACTCATTGTATCTCTCAGCTAAGAGAGTACGCCTCTTCAGCCATAAATTTAATATATATATTTAGTTATAATAAGTTGTTATATGCTTAATATGGCTTTCTTACTACAAATTATTTAAATTTTATTTTGGTTAAAATTAATTCTTAACAAATTGTGAAATAATTATTTAAAAATTATAATAATTTAAAATTGTTATTTAATAAACATTTTAATGAATATTCTAGCAAACATTTTTAAATGTATTACAAATATTTAAGAGATATAAATTATAATTGTGTATATGTACGTTATCACAGTGTAATGTATATATTTAAATAATGATTAAATAATTATACTCACCAGCTAGGATATTCCAGTTTATTTTACCTGCAGATTCTGCCTTAGATTGCTCTTCATTAGCTCTAGGGCACACTCACCAGTTGTATCTCAGCTAAGTCTGTTTTTACGCTGAAGAAATTTATATATAAATTATTATACGTTTTATTTATAGTAATTGGTATTATAAAATATTTTTTAATTATCTTGATTAAAATAATTATTTATAAGAATTTTTATAAATATTCTATAAATATTCCAATAAATATCTTTTTTGAAACATCTTATAAAAAAATATTTAATAAATATATGACCATAATAGTAATTTTATAATATATTTTTAATAGTATATTTTACTTATAAACAAGTAATTATACGAACCTAGTAATTGTATTCAGCTAAGTAGTTTGCTTTAGTCGCTACAGAATGCACTAAACACTGTTAATCGCGCACAAACTCACGATAAATAATATATTACGGCAATCGCCCGTCACTTTAATCGGCACTCCCGGCAAATTTTGCATTTGATTATGTAATACTTAATACAGATTGATATGAATAAAACACATGATTAATTGCAGAGCGTTCGCACTTTGCGTTTCGAATCAACGCGTCGCGCTGTACGTAGAGGTTATTACCAAGTTACGTGAAGCAGAGACGAAATATTTTGATTAGACAACCCGCGTGTAAACACACAGGTCACCTCGTCGCTACGAACAACATTGGCATGAGACCCTAGCTAAAATGCAACCCTTTTTATAAAGAACATTGAATAAAACATCATCAATTACCATAGTTTGTTGAAAGGCGCATAGAAAATGTTAATTTTTATCGTAATATTTTCTAATCATTTGTAATTATACAATATTTCAATATCAAAAGATACATTGATATAAAACAAAGACTCAACATTGTCTGAATCGTATTGTACTCGAAAATGCTTGCAAGTTAAAATTATTATGCAAATTATAATTAAAATCAGAGTGTTAAGAACTTACGATATGCTCTACGTGCGTTCGGAGAAAAACTTGCACTTTTTCATGCGGATTTCGATACTTTACTTAACCTTTACTGTGCAATTGTTTTGAATATTATATTATAATATTGTGTTATACAAGCTCATGAAAATACAATAATTGTTGATTAAAATCATATCATACTCTTGAGTTGGCTAATCTCTCATTACAAGATAAATTGACATTCTATTGCAATGCTGAATTTTCGGAAATTGCGAGATAAAAAAAACAATGTATTTTAATATCGCATACTAAATTCTAAAAACAAGCGTACATCGTTAAGGAAAAACATAAGTTCTTACGAATCCAATAATGTCCACAATTGAAACAAATTTTGCTTGCGTTTCGAGTCGACGAAGTATAGAAAGTATCACGGCTACATGCATTTTAATCCATGTAACATCGCTAATCACGGACATCTACAATAAAAATAATACGTTCCGACAATCACCCGTTACTTTAATCGATACTTCCGATGAAAATTTGCACTCATTATATTCTTTTAACGGATAAAATACGCGACTAACGTGGAAAGTTCTCACTTGCATTCCGGACCAAAGATGTAGAAAATATTATGGCGGTTACAGGATTTACGCGCGAAACATTAATTAGCAATAGTGCCAATATCTTAATATTAAAATGTATTTTAATCCGTCATAAAGTATATAAATAATCACCAGCATTCGCGCTCTGTGTGCCTTTTACAAAACTTTTACAACAGCTGGAAGATGGCGCACGTAGTATCGATATCGATCATCCAGGCATTTTGATATTAAGATATTGGTACTATTGCTAATTGATGTTTCGCGCGCAAATCTTGTAACCGCCATATTTTCTACATCTTCGGTCCGGAATGCAAGTGAGAACTTTCCACATTAATCGCGTATTTTATCCGTTAAAAGAACATAATGAGTGCAAATTTTTATCGGAAGTATCGATCAAAGTAACGGGTGATCGAAACGTATTATTTTTATTGTAGGCGTCCGTGATTAGTGATGTTGCATGGATTAAAATTGACACTACACTGCGATATCCAGTACAATATCCAGTACGAATGCAGTGAATTCCAAAATAGTGTACAAAATGTGTGTGATCATTATAGTTGCTCAAGAACATCGCATACATTTTTCATTAGATGTAGCATATCGAAATGTTAATTCGTCGGGTAAACATAGCTGTTGTTTACATTTCCATTTCTGGCAGTCTCTGTGTGGTCGCCAAAACAATCCTCGTTTGTCTTACTCGAGCGTGTGTATAATATCGAACCAACTGCTAAATGTGTAAAATGATAACACCGCTACAATTATATACATTACACAAATTGTGTTTTATCTCGCGTTCTTCGTCGCGTGGCGTGTCAAACTTGTGATATGAATCCGTGATTTTCGTGTAAGTGTATTTGCAGGTTGATTTTTCTTCGATAACGCGCATGATTAAATATAAGCGCAGATTTCTGATATTTATTGATTTTCTCATGGAAGTGATACAGAGCAGTCTAAAACGAAATATGCAGCGAATGGAGCAATCTGCAAAACTCTGGTGAATACAATTATTTATTCATTATTTAAATATATATATATATATATATATATATCTGTAATGACTCACATATACAGAATAACAATTTCTATTTATTATTTATTACTAAAACATTTACTTAATGTTTATTGAATTTTTTAATACCTATTTATGCAATTGCAATTTGAACTGCATAGTTATATTAATATCAATGGAAATAGTTATGTAATAACATGTAAATAATGAAATAATGTTTAATAATCAAAGTACAAATCTATGATAATTTGACATAACAAAATATATGTAAATATTAATAAAAATATATATTAATATTAATTAAAACTGTATTAATTATTTCAGGTGTCAAAAGCGCGCTTACCTCGAGTACAACGTGTGTAACTGAGGTAAGTGTATTTATTCAATAATATAATGTATTGAGATGTGTGTTATCTCCTATCTTTTATTCACCAATATTTCTTACTTGCTGAAAGTTATGCTTTGATAATCACATTCTTGTCTGCAATTTATCTTTTTACAAATAAAGATAATACAAAATCAATGTTTTTATCTTAAAACATTTAAATATCGTATAAGTTAATATATGCAATTTATTACTCTTAAATTATAAATTTATAAAATTTGAAAACATAAATCATATAATTAAATATGCAAAATAAGAGTTTTATTAAATAAAAAATTAAATTTAAAAATGAAAATTTTGAACTATAAATATAAATTTTGAGAATATAAATTTTGTGAATATTTGTAAAATATGTGAAATTTATGAAATTTGTGAAAATTTGAGAGTATAAATTTGAGAATATAATGTTTAATATAATTTTAATATTTATAAATACCTATTGTTGATTTAATCATTCTGATAAGTTTAATCGTTTCTTGTTTTTTTTTTGCAAAAGAACAAATTGTTAAAATACAATTTTAAATGCAGATTTATTGGTGGAATAAAGAAGATATTTTATAAATAAATCGAGAGTCACTATACTATCTAAAAACTATTCTATGATGGAAGGAGTTCATCCTTTACGCTAATAAAGTCGTAGCTTTACGCTAATTAATCCGTTGCGGACAGCCACGCGAATAGATAGCATGTCGCACGTCTAAGCTCGATCGAAGTAGCGAGCTCCATATCTCGCGTACGCGATAAACTCTATCTCATCTATGCAGTTCTACATATATGTAGGTGCACGTGGACGAACGGTCGTCCGTTTTAGCGTCTACATCTTCTCTCGTATTTGCGACGGCCGCAATCGGCTCGCCGCAAGTGCAAGAGCGTAGTACATCAATATGAGGATCGTGAGGCGATGCGTTTGGGCGCGACCGCGTGCCGAGTTTCACGATAGCGCATGCGTTCGCATTCTGCTTACTCATACCGTCTCTTTCTAACCGACGCATCGGCTAACAAGTTCTCTTTATTGCGACAACGGCAGCAGTCTCTGTCCGACCAGCGCGTCTCACTTGTAGTACTGCCGCTCGCGTTCGTCTTTGTCGGGCGACGAACCTCTTTCTCTCTTTCTCGCGCATCGGTACTCTTTCACCATCTCGACCGCGTAGCAGTGGGGACCGGAGTCGTGGAAGAAGTCGCGGGCGACGGGGTAAACCGTGCCGTGGTCGAATGGAGGGGAAGCACAGACGAAGGGATAGCAGGGGTGATTGCGAGGACGACGAAGCAGTGGGGAGAAGGGCCGGCGGCCGGCTAGACCGAGTAGATGGTCGGAGAGAGAGGGGAGACGACCCCTCTAACCGGGCGATGCCACTCAACTGGATCCCCGCTCCGTTCTCGCGGCAGTCTGACGCCGGTCGCGCAGTCAGCATGGCTGGATTTTCATGCAGCTTTTCGCCGGTTCTGCCGTGCTGAGGCTCCGTACTCGCATACGTCGCAGTTGCTCATCGTGCACGGTGCGCGCTCAACGTCCTTACAGTTCGCGACAAATGCGCGGTGTTGCTAAACACCAAGCCAGAAACGAGAGAAATTCGAGAAACGACGCCAGATGCTTGAACCTAACCTCCAAGCAACAAAGACCGTCCCAAGGGAGCACACTCGCAGCTGCACAACGACAGTGACTCGCTCCGCGACGTCGCGCGTTCAACGTGACTCCCATCGCACCGATATAGCACGCGTGTGAGCCTCCTTCTCTCGTGTGTCTCGAATTTCGCGGAGTTCCACGATTTCCCGCGACGTAAGCCAGCTCGCAACAATAACAGCACCAGTATTCAGTAAGACTTTCGAGACAAAGAAAGAAGCGAGCGAGGAATTTCAAGTTTTGTGCATCTTTGTAAAACTCTCGGCCTGCTTTCGTGAGTGATTGTCAAAGAGAGGAACGGGAAAAAAAACGGAGTACCATACATGACAGTGCAGTGAGAGGGGAGCAAGCGATTCACGGACAAAAGAAAAGGTTCGCTCCAAGGCAAGCTGTAAATCTTGACCTCGAAAGAAGAAGAAAGAAGATCGCCAGTACGACGTTTCCGAGACGCGGGCCGAATCGACCGAATGCTCTAAAATCCCTCGTCACGGTAAGTCCCCACGTCTTTGCCCCGCGAACGTGATCTGAAAATTCGATGCACCGTTTACGCGTTATAACAGCTTCCGGCGTCACGCTTTTTTTTGCTCGTTTACCAGCGGACCTTTAAACGCGCGCCGTTTAATCGAGCGAGATGATAAAGCCTGCATAAATAATGATTGCGCCAACGATCGTAAACAAACCGCTGTTTCTTTTCAAACACGTGATGATTCGCGTTCGACTCGCGCAGCGAACATGTGATTGTCGATGCGATTATTATCGGATACGAGTTAAGTATGTAATTAGTAACAGGAAATAGATAAGACAAATAACTCATTTTTCGTAAAGTGTTTCGTAAATATTGTGATCTGTATTTTTCTTTCACACGTGTGGCTATCTAATTAAATGGTTTCATATCGAATAAAACTCGGTATTAGATCACGATTATAAAACACAATACATAATATTCTTGTGTTATCAGTCTTCTATAAAGAAAACTGTAATCTCAATGTCAACACACGTGTGAGGTTATGTACATCACTTTACGTACA